TTGATAAAATGGCAAAGGCGGATAAAGTACGCTATGATCGGGAAATGAAGGATTATGGACTGGCTAAGGGAGGTAAGGCCACCATCTGGATTCTCCCTGTTCTGTTCAGAATTTCGCCCCAAGATCAAATCCACCAACCCTGGCATCTCTGTTGGAGACGTGGCACAGAAGCTGGGTGAGATGTGAAACAACTTAAGTGACAGCGAGAAACAGCCCTACATCACCAAGGCTGAAAAGCTGAAGCTGAAGTACGAGAAGAATGTTGCTGACTGTACGTCTAAAGGCAAATTTGATGGCACCAAGTTGCCTGGAAAAAGGTGGAAGAGGAAGTTGAAGAAGAGGAGGAGGAGGAGGAGGAGAAGGAGGAGGAGGAATAAAAACAAACTTTTTCTGTCTCCTTGTGAATACCTTAGCTAGGGGAGCTGCATAATCACACCTCTCATTGGAGGCCTGTCTATTGCCCTCATTAGGTTTAATTGCAGAATTCGATCACAATCATGTTGTCTCTCAAAGTGCTCTAGAAATTGTCAGTGGTTTACATGAAGTGGCCATGGGTGTCCAGAGCACCCTGAAACTGTATCAAAGTTGTACATATTTCCAAACATTTTTAAAATGAAAAGGCACTCTCGTGTTCTCCTCACTCTGTGCACTTCGATGTTGGTGTGACAAGGCATTAAAGATGTTCCTGACATTTTTGTTTCCCTGAATTCGTAATGTGGTGTTAGCTATATGTTATTGGCTAGAAATCCTGAGTTATCAACTGTACATATCTTTGGTCTGTGAAGAGAACAGAACAACCGTGACAAACTATCCATGCTCCTGGCTTGGTCAAGGCTGCCGGAAGGGCGCCCATCAGAGGGCCCGTGGCTCAGGGCGTGCACTGGGAAGCTGGATCTGTTGACTCTGGTGGCATCCGTGTAAGCGTCAGGGTGTCTTGTTTTGTACACAGTGATCTAGCCTTCTGCTGCCATTCTTAGCTATGGAGAAGGGGAGTCAGCTGGCATGAGAAGGGTTCGGATTTTTGTTTCCTTAGTTAAGTGCTATAGTTTTAAAACTTTGTTTTAAATAAACTGTAGAACTCTTCATTGTCAGTGAAGCCAAGAGACACTGCATTAATGAAGCTCAGGAACCTCTGTACTTAAAACACAATTTGCAACGTTCTGTTATTTTTTTGTATGTTTAGAATGCTGAAATGTTTGTGAAGTTAAATAAACAGTATTACACTTCTTTTTTTTAATGAATTATTTATTTAATTTTATTTATTCATTCATTTTATTTTCACTTGCCCAGAGAGACACACACACAGAGAGAAAGTGAGAAAGCAAGCCACCAGGTCCAGGATGTGGAAGTGTCTAGCACCTTAACCACAATGCCACATGCTGGTCCCCCAGTATTAGATTTCTAAAAAAAAAAAAAAAAAAAAAAAAAAAGCTATACCCATTCTTTGATTCTAGGAGCATGAAGCATTTAGGTATCATGCCCTATTGTTAGGGCTCCATATTGGGAGTCATTCCAGATTTCTTCTTTTTCTCTGTTTTTCCTGTATCCAATCTATTAACAAGTCTTCTCTTGTCCATGGCCAGTTAATGTTAATCTAGTCATTTCCCTTCTCAACATCTGAATATACAAACAGATGTTGGCTGAACTATATAAAAAATAAAATTCTGTTCCATGTCTGAAGCAACCTGACAAGGAAATCAGTCCCTTTATCTACAGTAGATGGCCCAGAAAGCCAGCATTATGTAAGTCAGCCTTTCACAAAGCCAGGTTGTTATCTCTAGTAACAATCCACGAAGCTGAACAGTAGCTTCTATTGGCCCCAAATGGCCAGGACTGCTTAAGTAACTGACAGGTTGTCTAATTTTTGTCTCTGTTTCTAATTTAGGACCAATCAGAGAAAGGCAAATATCCACCCCTTAACCAATCATATAGAATGTCCTGCTTCTAAAGACCCTCCCTATCCCTTCCCCATGCCAGCAGTATCCTACCCAAGCATTCCTGAAGTTTCCCTTTTTTCACTGTAGAGCTTCCAATGCCTCTGCCTGATCTTGGTCTCTGCCAAAACACAAGTGGTAGTAGGTGACTCCCTCGCAATAGTAAGCTCTGAAGAAGTAGCCTTTGCTTTTTTCATTTGGTTAGATGTAATTCCGAAACACCCTAGAGCAAGCCATGATCAGCTCTTTCCTTCACAAGCCCTGAAGTGGGCTTTACAGCCCTTCAGTCCTACTTGCTTTCTTGTCCACGTAACATTTTGCACCCAGAAGGTGAATGGACCTATTAAAAGGTTAAATCTGATTAGTCAAGCCTGGGGTCTAAAACCCTGCCATTGTACTTTGAATAAAATCCAAATATCCACCTAAACTCACATGTCCTACAGATATCTTTCTAACTTATCTTTTTTTATTTCATCGCTTGAATTCTCTCCTTCATTCATGTTTTTATTTGGATCTATTTCTGGGCATTCTATTCTGTAACACTCCCATTTACCCATCAGAGTATCAATGCTACTCTGCTTAGATTATTCTAGCTTCAGTATGAGTTCTGATATATTGGGTCATCAGAAAAGTCATGACATATTTTCTATGCAAAAATGTATCATGACTTTTCCAACAATCCAGTAATTATGACAATACTCTCTGCTTCTTCCATTTTCCACTCTTCCCATGTCCTCTTTCTTACTCTCCCTTCTATTTTATTTTTTTTATAATTTTGGCTTTTCACATAAGCTTTAGAATCTTTAATTTAAGAGTCTCCAATTTCGTATATATATACATACATACACACACACATATATATATATATATACACACACACACACATATATCTAATTAATTTTGTATTATTATTTGTATGTTAAATTGCTATACATCATTTAGATTGTGAAGAGACTTAACCCAGCATGATTTACACCTCAGTCCAGCCCAGTTGAGACCACCATACACATCCTCGTCAACACAGTGTCCCACAAGTGTCTTAGCTCTCCATTTCCCCCCCAAATTTCCTACGCTCTTCTCCTCTCACAGTCTCTTTCCACTTTGTCTCTAATGTCCATTACAATTTTTAATACTTTTATATTCTCCAGTCTTTCAGTCTCTACCATAGAGTGCAGACACGTGGTATATGTTAAGTGGAGACATGCAATGTCTCTCTTTCATAGCCTGACTTGCTTCACTCAGTAATAAATCTTCCATATTTGCCCACTTTCTATCAAATTCCAGGACCTTGTTTTTTTTTTTTTGACTGAATAATATTCCATAGAGTATATGTGCCACAATTTTTCAATCCATTTGTCTGTTGGTGGACATTTGGGTTGATTCCATGTCTTAGCAATCGTGAATAAGGCTAAAATGAATATAGATGTGCAAATATTTTTCTTACTGAGTGCTCTCCCGTCCTTTGGGCAGATACTCAGGAGTGGAATTGCTGGATCATATGGTGGTTCTATTTGAAGGTCTTTCAGGAACCTCCATACCGTTCTTCACAGTGGCTGGACCAATTTACATTCCCACCAACAGTGTAGGAATGTTCTTCTTTCACCACATCCCTTATTATTTGTTTTTTTTTTTTTTTTTTTTATTTTTTGCCAGTCTTACTGGGGTTAGGTGGTGTCTC